ACAGTATATTTGGCTATAGTTGTAGTGAATCTATTAATATTTGTTTATGATGTAGACAGTATATTGGGCTATAGTTGTAGTGAATCTATTAATATTTGTTTAAGATGTAGACAGTATATTTGGCTATAGTTGTAGTGAATCTATTAATATTTGTTTACGATGTAGACAGTATATTTGGCTATAGTTGTAGTGAATCTATTAATATTTGTTTAAGATGTAGACAGTATATTTGATTATAGTTGTAGTGAATCTTTTAATATTTGTTTAAGATGTAGACAGTATATTTGGCTATAGTTGTAGTGAATCTATTAATATTTGTTTAAGATGTAGACAGTATATTGGGCGATAGTTGTAGTGAATCTATTAATATTTGTTTAAGATGTAGACAGTATATATTTGTTTAAGATGTAGACAGTATATATTTGTTTAAGATGTAGACAGTATATTTGGCTATAGTTGTAGTGAATATTTTAATATTTGTTTAAGATGTAGACAGTATATTTCTACATATATTATTACTATGATATTCGTTTTTTCTCTAAGTTTGTAGATAATTTATTTCCACCATATATAGGACTTTTTCTTTTTCAAGAATTGACTAAAACAAAATTTTCGTTTATATGTTTCAATGACCAACTAGAAGAATAAATGTTATGCCAAAAGAAAGATGCCAAAAAATATTTTTAATTCAGACACCGAAATTAAATAGGAAACGTTTTTATATAAAGTCGAAATGTTTTCTACTTTACCGTTACTGAAACAGAGCCAAGTAAAAATCATGTACAGGTTAATATGTCCACACCATGTTATATAATTGGTTTAAACAAAGATCTTAATGTGATTACTTTGTGTGTTTAGCTTGCAACTGTAACCTTCACGCCAGGAAATGTCGGTTTAACATGGAATTATACAAGCTATCCGGCCGCACCAGCGGTGGAGTCTGCTTGAAATGCCGGCATAACACGGCTGGACGCCACTGTCACTACTGTAAGGAAGGTTTTTACCGCGACAATAGCAAGCCCATCACTGACCACAAAGCCTGTAAACGTAAGTTTTGCTTTTTTTTTTTTTTTTAGTACTAATATAATCCAATGTACTTAACTTTTAACTCACAATTAACAGTTGGACAACGGTTGAAAGTGGGATAATACGTACTTTGTGTATATTTGAAATTAACATCTAGTATGATATGACAGAAGATTCATTTATTATCTACAATAATTTATTTTTAAAATTATGATAAGATCACATATTAAGTATGTGATGAACAAGAAACTCAAAGTTTCATAGACCAACTAGAGTTTGTTACGTTTAGCATATTATCATTCTACTGAGATCAGTTTTAATGATGACCACCTGTAAGATCACGTGATAACAAAATAATACCGTGTTTGTGCATAGATGCATACCGATGTTAATCTTTACTTACGTTTCGTCAAGTGATAAATTAGGATTATGCACAATTTCAAAGCAGGTTTAAAATGATAACTACCCGAATATCATAAAACATTCTCATGAACATTTATATATTCGATTTACATTATCACGTTGAATAAGTTTAACAGTAAAAACTCGTACAACCCAACATTTCTCATTATTCGTATTAAGTGAAAAAAAAAATCAAATGACCAAATTTCTCCAAAGAAATTTTGACTTCGGTATTAGCCTTTCTTATTTTCATTTATACATTATAGTTTACAAGGATAAGCTTCCCGTAACAGTCTGTTATAAATACGTACAAGCTAATTTTATACTATTCTCTCTAAATAAATATCAGCTTCCTTGATATAAAAATCCTACATTAGTGGAACGTTTTTTCCTTTATTCAATTTTACACAAATCCGCAGATTTATAATAAACATTTTACGGATAAAAACGGAATTGAAACTTTAAAAAAAAAGTGAGATTTTACTTAAATGTGATAAAAGTGAATGAATTAACAGTAAAATATTAATGATTGCAATATCGTTTTTTGCTAGATAGTTAGTTGTTGGCTATTAGCGTTTGAAGTCTTACTAACTGTCTGTTTGTTCATGACAAACCTATTTGTTTACAACACATTTCAAACTCTTTACTGCAATATGTCAAAATAGACTAAGAAATAAGGTTCGTAGAACAATGCATCTGTGTGGTCGTGATTTGTATGTCAACGCGAGTAGCTAGTGTTTGTTATTTCTGTACTCTCCAAAGACCCATCTCAACACACTAATTAAACAGCGTCACCTTTTTCAACATTTAGATGGCGCTCCTGTACGTAATTTTGTTCTAACTTTGGAAGTATATCCTATCCCTGCTAGAGAATACTGTTCAAAAAGGGTTACCTTCACAAAATTTTTTTAAAATTAAAATACAACGTAAATCTTATTATTCTTCTAGGTTTGAACGTGATTCAAATTATATGACATAAAGTAAGATACTGCTCACTTCGTCTTATTGCTTATGGGGTTACGTTATTACATAACCTATTGTTACGTATGTAACATTCTGCTCAAATAGTAATTTTATTTATCTATAGAATATATATATCTGTTCTAGCAATGAGCTGAATATGCAGCTATGCATTTGTTTGTAGTTAAGCGCAAGGCTACATAGTGGGCTACCTGTGCTGTGCCCACCAGGGGTATCGAAACACAGTTTTTAGTATTATAAGTCCTCATATTTACTGCTGAGCCAACTGTGGGCGCAAAAAGTAAGCTGTGAATCTAAATAGTTTTCAGAAGTGTCCCTATCTAATTTGACTTGCATTTAAAAATTCAATATCAAATCATTCCAAAACCTTTGGGGCTAAATACTAGGTCCCCTGGTGGAACATCTGTAAGTTTACGGACTTACAGCGCTAAAATTCAGGGTTCGCTTCCCCGCGGTGGATACAGCAGATAGTCCAATGTTGCTTTGCTCTAAAACAAACAAACAAAGCTAAATAAGGAGAATATATGATGAAACCCTACAGATGCATATCCGTTTACTCACCATAACAGCTGACGTCACTTGTATGTTGATCAACTTTCGTGGTATATAAATACACACACACATATATATATATATGAAATATAATCTTCCAATATTAGGTAATACGAGATTTCCAGTGTCCGATTTTATCATTTTATAAAAACTTTTTAGTGCGACAAAAATAAAAATAATATCCATATTTTCTTGAAAACAACAATCAAAAGTTTACTTATTTTATTTTTCTTGCAGACAGAAAAATGCTATTTCTCGTACATTAGAAGAATCTATGTATGTGTATCTTAGTATTCTTCAACATAGTTAATTTTGTCTTTGTCAAACCTAACTAGGAGGGCCGAGTACAGCCTAGAGGTTAGCGTGTCGGACTCTAGATCTGAAGTTCCGTGTTTCGCGTCAGGTTGTCATCAAAAAACAAATCGCGCTCAGCAACTTGGAGACATGTGTGCGTCATAAGAGTGAAGATCAAATCCTACTATTCGGTCTGACAAAAATAACTCAAAAGGGGTGTTTACTAGCTACCTTTTAATTCTAGTCTATCACTTCAAAATTAGGAACGGTTAGTTTTGCGCGAAAATCTGAAAATAAACAAACGTATCTAACGAGGTCGATTGTATTCCTCATACAAAGTACAAACAGATTTTCGAGTTGTCTATTTTTCAGCTTATATGAACCTCCGAAAGGAAGATATAGTAATTGCGACTACTTCGGCAAAGAATAAAATGTTACAAACACTCTTGTATTATAATTCATTATTAGGGGGGTTACTTAAGAAGGTTTGTTTGTTTTTGTTTGAATTTCGCGCAAAGCTACACGAGGACTATCTCCGCTAGCCGTCCCTAATTTAGCGGTGTAAGACTAGAGGGAAGGCAGCTAGCTAGTCATCACCATCCACCGCCAACTGTTTACCAACGAATAGTGGGATTGACCGTCACATTATAACGCCCCCACGGTTGAAAGGACGAGCATGTTTGGTGTGACGGGGATACAAAATCTCGACCCAAAGATTGCGAGTCGAGGGCCCTAACCACCTGGCCATACAAAGAAGGACAAAGAAGACAAATGTTCCAAAAATAAAAAAAGGATAAGTTCGTAGTTCGGTTGCAGTGTCTGAAGATGTTTGGGACGTGTTCGTGCAAGACTATTTCATGTCATCAAAATAAAGATGCTTTAATCAAGGCCAGAAATTGATAACGAATTACAAATACGTTTTTGGTACCTAAGCTTCTCAGAAATTAACACCTGGTCAGTGTCATGGACTAAAGTATGAAGAACGGATGGAAGTTTAGAGCCCATGCTAATTAAAAATCAAAGTAAAAGCATAATTAGTAAACATTCTAGATTTAAAAGAGGAACGCACTTCTTTTTCTTTTACCATACAAATAAACTTACTGAACACTGGAGCAACTGCATAGCAAGTCAAACAATGTTTTAATGGTGCAAAATACATCCGCTGCAGGTCTACAGAGTTGCTGCAGGCTCTATGTAATATCTCTTTCATTAAAAATTCATAAAAAGCGAAAGTCTGTGCCTAAGACATTGATAATAAAGAATACATTGCTTCTTTACTATCAGCCACCTGTTTCCATGGTCAGAACGTGAGAATTAGTAAGATCAGTAAATTGTTGGCAATCTCGTGAACAACAAACAATAAAAAAACCATAATAACAATGATAGCAAAAGTATTTTGCGATATCGACCTTAAGTCACTAATAATGAGTGGTGTGTAGTAATAAAGAAATTATCTTAATTACGGTTTTACTTTTTATTTGTAAGTTTTGATGATAATCTCAGCAGGTGTTTTTTTTTCTCTTTTCTTTTACATTTGATTGTATGTTCAAAGCTTTGGTTGTATTAAGAAAATCGATTATGTCTGTATGTTTAATTTCTGATACAGCTGTATTAGGATTTCGAGTAGAAAAAATATTTAATCGTTCCACGAAAAATAAAATAAAGAAGATTAATGTATTCGAGAAAGACAGATCTCTTGGTTAACGATCACGCCCACTTTTATATACGGTAGTACACAATAACATTTCCCATCTTTAATAGGCTATTTTTAAGGTAGCTTGTCAGGCGAACGTGATGAAGCCGCCGTTGTCAAGATTAGTTTTGTGAGCAGCTCAAATTCAGAGTTGACCATCTCCATTCATATTTTGGAACCAGCGGGAACAAAGACTACCACCAACTGGGCAAACAGTGGGGGTGGAGAAAGTGCGCGTGAAAGGATTAGTTGAAATTCATGGTATTCAGCGGAACCGACATGAGACAAAAACTGTCACTATATGGTAGAATATTTCTCACGCCATTTTTTATAGGCACACAAAATGCATGAAGATAATTGATAGGAAAATGTCAAATGCATACATACAAAATAACACTTAAAGAATGTTAATGATAATACAAATCAAAAGTATCTTTTAAGAAGTGTAAAATTTCATTTATACTCCAGATGAAAGATGTGCCAGAAAACTAGAAACGTCCAATCATATACATTTATCCTGTATTTAATCATTAATTTGGTAAAACATAACGGTTATCTCTCAACTAAAAACTATTTAGCCTTGAAACAGCGTTATTCCTTTGAAGTCCCAAATGGTTCGTTTCTCGTTTGTAGTACAGTATCCAAACAAGCTTTAGGAGTTCAGTCCATAAGCAAACACTTGTCTGATGGAATTTTTTGTATCCGAATAGCTGATCTTTATTTTTTTTTGTGGATGTGTGTAGTTAGAGTGGAATAAATATATAAGGGAGAAAGTAAACATAGTAATGGAACAGCGGTGCCAAAATGTTTAAGGATTTTAAAAATCTTTGGTTCTATTTATACGTTCTTGGACCTTTCCACACACACACACAAAAAAAAATCAAAGTTAAACCCCATTTTAAGATTGGGAATAATAGTTCCGAAGCTTGCTTTATGGTCTCTTTGTGAACCCATGGTGCAGGACCTAGTCTGGCTCCTTGTGCTTCAAGCACGTACTATACGTAGTGAGCATGACGTTCTTTTATTCAGACCAGTTTGGGCGGGTACAGAGCCAGCGGACAAATCTTTCAGACAGACTTCCGGTGACTTTGTGATGTTA